TCTTTTTCCTCGAACCTATGGTCCGCAGCGATATGCAACCTCAGGCTAGGAGCGCCAGGCCAATAACCTAAACAGAACGGGCACATGAAAGGGATAACGAGCGCATGATCATAGTTGACATGCCGAGTAAGCCACATTTCCCTCTCGAAAGAACGCGGACAGAGCTTACAATCGAAACCTGCCTGCCCAAAAGTACCTACCTTGTGCGTTATCAACTTATGGTGCGAAAGGCCGCCCTTAGTTGTGTACCTACGCCCACATCCAGGAAAATCACAGACGTAGTCACCATCAGAAACATCAGTGGTCTTAGGCACATTCCGTAGATTCCAATACTTAGTACGCACTCTAGGCGGCGCGGTGCCGTCCAAAATAGCCTTGGCATCATCCTGTTTTTTAACGTACCATGCTGGAGTGCGCATCTTTCTAGAAACTCTTCGCGGAGTGACACCGGTATGAGAAGAGCGCGAGACCTCCGTCGCGTTCGCTTGTAGGGAAAGTACAACAGTGGACACCAACAAGCGAAACATGGCGAGATCACCCTCCGTTTCCGCGTCCTGAAAACTACAATCCACCAAATCACAGCACAACTCCTCCATATCCACCTCCGGATTTGCGCGTACCCTTTCGCGAACTTCGGTCGTCAGCGTTTACTAAAAGGGGCCCCAATTTAGAGAACTACCCATATGGTACATGAACCTAAAACCCGTTTCGGTTTCCCTAAGGGTCCATGTATTCATATAGCATATACATGGGCCCGAAAGTACGTATATAGGGACCACATTAAGGCCAATGTATATACTATATGAGCAAATGGACCCTTAGGGTTTGATTTCGTCTTCAAGGCAAGGTCGCAATCGAGGCGCACGTCGGCTGCGAAGCGGGTGCAAGCGGCGGCAAGGCCAAGGAACGAGCCGACCCCTCGGGAAGGAGCCGTCGTGGCGCGTGTTCGTTTGGGTTCTAACGGATTAAGGGTTTAGGTTTAGGGTTTCCGTTTGGTTTAGAAGAACGTTTATTGGTTTAGGGCTTTAGGGTTCTAGGGTTTAAAGTTAAGGGCTCTAGGACTTGGATAACGCTTATAAGCTTTAGCTTTTTGTGTCTGGGGGGTTGGAACGGGTGAGGGCTTATCTTTGCGGACTATCGAGTTTTGGGGTAGCTTCAGGCGTCAGGACTTTAGACATTGAGGGTCCCATTATGTGTAGTTCTCCAATCTAATTTAGAGAACTACCCAAGTTCAAAAGACCACAGAAACTGAAAACCAAAACAACCTCTACTACCCCAGAAAACCCTGTTCCTTATTAAGGATAGAAAAACCCCTTTAAGCAAAACCTTTCCTAATCCCCCAGAAATAGAAGGATCTCACAGTCGGAGTTCTGTAGAAGTCCTCTAGAGGAGTGCTTCTTCAGTCCCAACACTCAAGAAAAATGTTCTTCCTGAGAGCCCCCAGAAGTAGTGGTCTTTTGCCTCAGTGGGTGGTGCAACTCCTTGCTTTCTAAAGCTCTGAACAGGAAAGGAACCGTTTAGAGTTCAGGGTTTTGTAAAGCTTCAACTTGGATTTGTTGCCTTTCAGAGGTGGGTGGGCGTAGTGGTTTTACTTCGGGTTTGGTAATCAGAGGTTCAGAGACCAAGGTAGGGGATGTAGAACCTGACGTAATACTTCTTCCGCTGTTTACCACGCCAGTCTAAGGCATTGGGGATTCATGTAGGCGCCGTAATAACTAGAATAGGGTTGTGGGCTCGTTTATGGTATAGTTGTATTAGTACAAGAAACTCCCAAAATAGTATTGGTAATTACCTAATCGCCTATATTGAGCAAACTGGCAAACAAGTTTGTGTTCGTTCAAAGCTATGCCATAACCCTAAAGCTTACCTCGGAGGGGTCAGTGCTAGGTCTAAGGAAGATGTTCACGGCTCATAGCGCAACAAGTGTCATTGCATCGGTTTGGGGTTTAGGGGTGATAGCCTCTGCTTCTTACACCCCAACAACATGTCAGCATCATGCTGCCCGACGCAGCTACAATCACACTGATGGCTGCTGTTGTGTGATTCAATGTCTGCGGTTCTGACTGGTATCTCATGCAGATAATGGCCCGGATACAGCATCAGCATGAGGGTCAGCATCTCTGCTACTCGAAAAACTGCAACCAGATTACTACTGCTACTGCCCTAAACCCTAAACCCTAAACCCTAAACCCTAAACCCTAAACCCTACTACTGCTACTGCTGCTGCAGCTAGTGACCCCCTCTTCTTTCAGATGGCTCCCTGACGCCAACATCGCCAATTAGTTCCAATGTCTGTCTGGTAGGAACATATGGAAGATATAGTCGTCGGAGTAATAGGTAGTAATGCTATTCCTTGGGGTTTGATATTCTAAGTATACGTAGGTATGACATTCGCCAAAATCCATGAGAATGATTTATTCCCCCCCCCCCATATTCGGAATTGCTGTTCCCTATAAGGGTCCATGTACCCAAATAGTAGATACTTTGGCACCAAAGTACCCAAATAGGGACTACTTTAAGGCCAAAGTATCTCCTATTTGGGTACATGGACCCTTTGGGGTTGCTTGCAACCTAGGCTCAGAGAAGCTCGCGTTGCGTCGGCTTTGTCATGGCTGGAAGGCCACTGGACACAGCCGTCAGCTCTCAAACCCCAAGGGTCTTGGGCCGGTTTTGGGTTTAGGGTTTGGGGTTTAGGGTTTTGGGTTTAGGGTTTAGGGTCTAGGGCTTAGGGTTAAGGGTTTAGGCCACAAACCCTAGCCCAAAGCCCTGGGTTTAGGCGACCGCCTCCTCTCTCTTCTAGGCTTTCTGTGCACTTGAGGCTTTGGGAAGCTTCGGATTCAGCGCGGAGGGGGTCGGGTTGAAGGCTTGGGGCTGATGTGACATTTGTAGGGTTTCGGGTTCCGGGCTTCGGGGTTTATCTTGGGTTTAGGGTTTAGGGTTTAGGGTTTAGGGTTTAGGGTTTAGGGTTTAGGGTAAGCTAAGGTTTTGGGGTGGGGATCGGGTTTACGGATTTTGACTGGGGATTTTCAAGCTCAAGACATCCCGAACCGAAATCCATTCGAAACCGCGCACCCAAGAATATGAACCGTGACCGGCTTAGCGACTCGAAGCCCTAAATACTCATCAATAGACCCTATATACACCTTTCCCTGCGACTCCAACGTGTAGGTGACTCCACCACCCAAAAGTAGCCTTAATTCGGGGGACTTGGTAGTTGTATGACTTGAGGCTCTTACTAGGATCCGGTCTGCCTTGGGTTTGTGAGGTCTCGGGCTTCATTACCCTAAGGGTCCAAGTACCTGATAATCACATACTCTCCCAAATAATAGCCTACAGAACTACTATCCGAAACCTAAGTACCTGATTATTGGGTCCTTTGGGCCCTTGGGGTTAAGCTTGCCTTCAAGCTTGAACTCAAGCACACGGCTGCATGGCGGCAGGAGTCAGTGCACGCAGGAGCAGACTGCAGCTCTTAAAATCAGCTTTTGTGCTGAATTTAATTAGTTGGGGCCTCAATAGTTAAAACCGTGCATGGGGGGGGTATTCCCTAAACCCTAAACCTTGAACCCTAAACCCTAAACCATGGTATAAAGTTGCATTCAGGAGCCCTTGGGGATGATATCGGTAAGTATTCGACCCGTCCATTGTAAGATTAGGGTCTGGCGCAATTGAGTTGGAAATCAGGGTTCCCTTCAGGCCTATGTCCCACACCAGGACCTCAGCCTGTATTCCAACCTTGGGTTTCGGGGTTTGGAGTGCAGCCCTCACGACAAGATGCTGGGCTCTCTTCAGGTACCAGATTTCGAGAATTACAGGGTTTCAGGTTTAGGGTTGAGCTTTTGCGGTTTAGGGTTTGGGGGACGTGTTCATGGGATTGGGGATTCAGCAGGGTGTTAGAGTGGTTTGTCATGGCTCTACGATGGATTTACGAGGCTTGCTAGGGAACACTCCTTGCTATGATAATTAAAGCTTCAGACTCAAAGCATACCAGGACTGCAAGGTACTTTATCCCCACCGCCGTCTTAACACCTAAAACCCGAAACCATAACCCTAACAGCCGAAACCCCGCACCCTGCGACCTAACCCACAAGTCCCGAACCGTAAAATGCATAAAGAACCCTTACAGTACCCTTAAAGGAGCCCGGTGATAGATCCCTTAAAGGAGCCCATAAAGCCCTAAACGATAGATCCCTGAAAAAAAGGACCCCAGGAAGGAGAGCTTTGCAGGAACCCATACTCGCAGAGACTCCCAAACCCCTTAATTAAGACATATATATATATATGTATGTATTTATTTACATATAAATCATATTCGGATTCCTATTATATTTTAAATATTTTCTTCAACTCAAGCTACCCCTTATCATATGAGGGATCGGTGTCTCTGGGATGAGCCCTAGGGCCTCTTGCCGGTGAACTTTGAAAAGGGGCGTCGCCTCAGGGGCGCCAGAGCTGTTTTTTCGGGTTGAAGTGCTTAGGTTCACGGTTTAGGGTTTAGGGTTTAGGGTTTAGGGTTCAGGGTTTAGGGTTTAGGGTTTAGGGTTTAAGGTTACAGAAGAGGAGCCTAAACATATCCCTAATCCTTTAAAAAGTGGGTTTTCAACAACCTAGGCCCCACAGCAACCTGCTCTCTAAGGTTACGGGCTTTAGGGTTGAGGGCCGAGGGTTCAACATTGCGGGTTTCAGGGTCGGTTTAGGGTTTAGGGTTTAGGGTTGGGGGTTAGGGTTCAGGCAGGGTTTAAGGTTTCGGGGGTGTGGGATCGCATAGCCGGGTCGTCCTGCTTCCCTAGAAAATCGAAACGCCCCGCTGCAGGGAATAGAATTACCCTAGAATATGGGGAAGGACCTCCTATACCCGGTAATCCTTTGAAAGGAATGCCGTGAACAAAGAAGCGCAATCTGTTCTACTCGTCTAATCGCCTCCCGCTACTGTGGTACTGTGGCCCTCCCCTCCCCCGCAATAACAACTCGGAAAGCGGATGATGATGATGATGATGATGATGATTATTTTTAGGGGGTATGTTTATCTCTACTGTCACGTTTCAGCTCGCGGCGTCAACCGTGACCGCGGAGTTTT